CTGGGATGGAACCCCAGGTCGGCTACATGCAAGGCAAGTGCCCTACCTCTTGTACTATCGCTCTGGCCCACAAAATGTAGTTCGATGCAGCCCCATTTGTTTATTTTTGTTTGGGCAAACAGTTCTTTATTCTCCTCATTCTGGAGCCACTTTTGAGCCACACCTAGAAGTGCTTGGCAATTCGTTTCAGCAGTGCTCAGGGAACCTTGGGTACAGGGTGGAAGCCAGTTCTCCTGCATACAAAGCCTGCAATCCAGGACTTGCTGCTGCCTCCCTGGGTCCTGAAAAAACACAAGTGTAAGAGACCAGACAGATGTATCCTATACAGATCACTTCAGTCTCATGCCAGCGTCTGGGAGAAGCTTAGTTTCTCTCTGTGGAATGAATGTGAAGTGGAAAAAAAAAAAGGATCTGTGGTGCTATAAGGAAGCCTGGAACAGAGAGGAACGGCCAGACAAATCTCATTATTTCAGTTGTTTTTATCAAAAAGAGCAGTTTAGGGGCTGGAGAGATAGCACAGTGGGTAGGGTGTTTGCCTTGCACGCGGCCGACCTGAGTTCGATTCCCAGCATCCCATATGGCCCCCTGAGCACCACCAGGATTAACTCCTGAGTGCAGAGCCAGGAGTAACTCCTGTGCATCGCCAGGTGTGACCCAAAAAGAAAAAAAAAAATCAAAAAGAGCAGTTTAGGAAGAGATTTCATACCATATTGTCATCCCAGAGTCCTGCCAAGTGTGGCTTGAAGGTGTGTGTGAGGGAAAATGGGTATTTGATCATTGTATAATTGAAACCCAAACACAAAAATTTGTAAGTCTACAACTGTACCTCATGGTGTCTCACTAATAAAAATTAAAAAAAAAAAATAAAAAACAGGTCGTGTTCCAGTTCTGTGGGGCAATAATGGCTTCTCCCTCACAAGCTCAGCACTGGCTGTGACGTGGAACTCCTAAGATTCCTCCCTCTCAACATCAAGATAAAGTGAAAGTAAACAGGAGCTTGGAAAATTACTCGCGTTCTTCCTCATCCGGGCACTGCAGAAGGGGAGCAGAATATTCGTTCCATTTCCTGTCCCTTCACTGTTGCCCCAAGCACGGCTTTCCACAGCAGAAACTTCTGGAAATTGTTTCTCATCTTTTGCCCTTCTCTGAGCACAAACTTTTCTAACTGGTTTTTCTGCTTATGGTTGCTCTTAAAAGGCGGAGGCATCTGAAAAGGCTTTGTAATCTGTCTCCATTTCCATTTCCATGAGAAAGATAATTTATTCTTTAACTAAAATTAGACATTTGCTTCATGTCTATTCATGGGAGGCCGTTCCGTGCTTTTCCCGACAGCAACAGGGCTGGACCCTTTAGCGTCCTTTCTGACTGCAGATGAAAATGCTCTCGGGGTGTTTTTCTCCTGGGAAATTGTATTTTGAGCGCTAATAAACTTTCCCCCCCCGGTTTAGATGGTCTTCGTTACCAGGGGTCTAAATGAAAAAATTTCTATTTCTGATTCTTTCAAGTGAAACGCAGGCATTTGAAGTGAGACAACTCAATGGTTAATTCAAACTGCTGACTCTAGCATTTCCCTGATTTCTTTCACAACTTATTCTCGGGGTCAGCTGACGTGCTCATTCCTGAGTTTGATTGCTGGGTGGATAATGACACTTTGCCATGGATGATTGGAAAGACTGGAGTCTATGAAGAAATGAGGTTTGATAAATCAGAATGTGAGGAGCTCCAAAGAAAAGGCATTGATTTCTTTCTTTCTTTTTTTTTTTCTTGGTGCAAAGAAAGCCTGGTACATAATGAATGCTTAGTAAATATCTGTGGCATAATTGGGAGAAGTGTGCCGTCTTGGAGAATTAAGCAATTCTGGGAGATATTCAAAACCATTTACTAATAACTGCCACATAATTCATTCTGAGGTTAGCACATCATTTCGTCATTAAGAGAAATCCATGTTGGATTTCACATGTTTAACCATTTCCCTCCATTCCCTTTTGTTGCTGTCATTGTTGTTTTGATGTCTGGTGTTCAGACGCTTGGCAAAGGTGCACTCTGGTAGCAGTGTGACAGAGATGGCAAACATGAGGGACTGGGGTGCACAACAGTTGTGGAGAGGCAGAGGGTGGGGGCGGTGCCAGCGGTGAAACTCTTTTTTTTTTTTGGGGGGGGGGTCCCACCCGGCAATGCACAGGGGTTACTCCTGGCTCTGCACTCAGGAATTACTCCTGGCGGTGCTCTCAGGGGACCATATGGGATGCTGGGAATCGAACCCGGGTCGGCTGCGTGCAAGGCAAATGCCCTACCCGCTGTGCTATCGCTCCAGCCCCCCAGGGGTGAAACTCTTGGGTCTCATACCTGCAAGACAGGGATTCTACCACTAGTAGCCATATCCCAGGGACCTTATTTAATTATTTAAAAAAAAATTGTTGCTTTTGCAGATGTTTAACCACTACGTCATGCTCCACAATCAACCTAGGACTTCACACAAATGATGCACTTGCCCAGCCACTATATATATATATATATATACATATATATATATATATATATATTTATGACTGTCATTGTAGCAGTCCTCCTGTTGTTCATCAATTTGCTCGAGTGGGCCCAATAATGTCTCCATTGTGAGGCTTGTTGTTACTATTTTTGGCATATTGAATACGTCACAGGGAGCTTGCCAGGCTTTGCTGTGCAGGAGGGACACTCTCGGTAGCTTGTTGGGCTCTCCGAGAGGGGCGAGGAATCGAACCTGGGTCGGCCATATGAAAGGCAAACGATGTACATGCCGTGCTATCGCTCCAGCCCTAAGGCAGGCCCTAGAACCAATAATCCACATCCTCGGCCTGTAACAGTGACAAACTGAGACAAACATACTGTTTTGTTGGTTTTTAAAAACTCTTTTCTATTATTTCTCTGCATGTTTTACAACCGTGCCCAATATTGCGGTGTTGCCGCACAGAGGCACATCGTGTTGTGAAGAGGATGAGGCTGAGATGAAATGGCCAGTGCCCTCCAGGACCCTGTGATAGATTGCACAGACACAAACAGGTTCCTAGGAATTCTGCAGAGAAGGTTTTGGGGGAGGAAGGAGATGGAGGAACCTGACTGTGCTCGAGGGAGCACTCCCGGGAGGGGAAGAAACAGAATTAGACACATTTCTGCAGCCTTATTGACTACCAAAATGTAGATGTGCATATTTGTGCAGTGAATTTAATGAATGCACCTGTGGGTGCCTGAAGGAATGATCCAGTGCTCCTAATTGAGACTGAGTCCTTGAGTTTATTTATTTTTATTTTTTATTTTATTTTATTTTTTTTGATTTTTGGGTCACACCTGGCGATGCTCAGGGGTGACTCCTGGCTCTGCACTCAGAAATTACTCCTGGCGGTGCTCAGGGGACCATATGGGATGCTGGGATTCGAACCCGGGTTGGCCGCGTGCAAGGCAAATGCCCTACCCACTGTGTGAGTTCTTAAGTTTAAAGAAAAAACTCTAAACATGTTGTTTCAGTGGATCAAAGAGAGAGGCCATCTCTAATTCAGAGAGGAGGGAGATGAAAATTGACCTACCAGGCACCCCAAATGGAGATTCCTGAAGGTGTGGATGGGGCATGCCGATGAGTTAGGGCAGGGACGGGATCTGGACAGAGGAGACTGGACAGGCCTAGTGAGGGCTTCACTCTGGGATCATCCTGACCAACAGAGGAGGCGGGCATCCCCCAAACTCAGCAGCGGGACAAGAGGATGTGCAGGGAGGATCAGAGGTCATTTCACGTTTCCCTTTCAGGCGGAAACAAAAGGCACAAGGATCTCATTAAGGAAGGCAGAGGGACTTAAAAAAGAATCCGGAGACCTGAAAAACTGGAATGGAAAAGACAGGTAGGTAATGAGATTTGGGGGTGGGGTGAGCAATTAGGGAGGAGGAAGAAGGCAGAGAAGAACAGAGTCTAAGCCTACAGCTGTGGGGAAATAAAACATTTAGAGGAATAAGAACAGTGGCAAGAGCAGTTGGTTTTCTTTGGATCGGGGAAGGGGGGAAGGTTAGGACTAAACAGGTCTCAGGTGAAAATGGGGTCACCTGAGGGAGATACTGGCAGGTGGCTGAAAACCCCACGATCCCAGAGTACCTGGCACATCAGGGAGTTTTGCTTTTCTAAATGGTGTATTTATCCGCATAGATTATATCATGTTTGGTGAAAATTCACTTTTATTCTGTGCTGCTGATTTTCTCTCTCCAAAGGTAAATGCTGTTTTCAGTTCCTTCAAAGACATTATTTACTTATTGGTTATTGGGCCTCACTCTGCATTGTTTAGGGTTTGCTCCTGGTTCTGCACTCGGGGATCGCTCCTGGTGGGCTTGGAGGACCTGGGGGGTGCTGGGGGTCAAACTCAGAATCGCCCTGTGCAAGGCAAGTACTATGGGTCTGGGCCCCATAGAGGCATTCTGAATTGAATGTGTTATGTTTCTAGGCAAGTTTCATCCTTTTGTTTAAGGCTAGAGAAGACATGTGTGTCTTTTTTTTTTTTTTTTTACTTTTTGGGTGTCACCCCAGGCGATGCATAGGGGTTACTCTTGGCTCTGCTCTCAGGAATTACTCCTGGTGGTGCTCAGGGGAGCATATGGAATGCTGGGAATCGAACCCGGGTCGGCCACAGGCAAGGCAAATGCCCTATCTGCAGTGCTATGGCTCCAGCCCCGATGTGTGTCTTTGAGGTGAAGGAAAACAAGGAGAGGTATATACTGAAAAAAAGCATATTAAAGAGGAATTACTGAAGCAAGGTCTTAGAGGAAGACGGCGATGGCAGATTAGTGGAACAGCAAGAGAGGGGACCTTTTCAGAACACGGAGGGCTGATAGCAAAAGAAACATCTCATGTCTTATTCCTTGGGTGGCCCAAGTCTCCTTAGGCCAGTGGTGGCAGAGACACAGAGGGAAACTGGTGGTCTGAGGAGGAAAGCAGAAAAGATGTAAAACAGTCATGGTGGATGCCAGAAAATATCACAGAACAGTCATATACAAAATCCATCCAAAGATTTATTTTACTGATTTATAAAAGATACCACCAGAGCAACTTAAAGCTATTGAAACATTTAAAAATAAATTTACATCAGTGTATTCACATCATATTACATTAATCAGTGAAATGATACAGGTAGTATTGAACAAACAAAACAGGAACATAGTTCTCTAAATTTTAGTTTTTAAATCTGTAGGTCACAATCCCATAAGGAGGTCACATAATTGAAATGGGGGAGTGGGTGGTCACGAAAAATCTGGCCACAGTTAAGGATTTCTGAATGCCCAGTGACTAAAAATTAATTCAAAATCAACCATATTGTGAATCCCAGGTATTTCTGGCATTACTTGGGGGGGGGGCGGGGGGGAAAGTGACAAGTTAAAAAAGTTTAAGAATCTCTGCTCTAAATCACATAATGCCCTAAAAGATGCCCCCGAACCACTGGAAGACAGTCCAGGAAAAACTGGAAAATAGATGATTTCAGGAGCCCACAGGAAGACAATGACATCTTTGGTCCCAGGTGCTGTGGCAGAGTCGTAATTATTTGAATCCTAAACTGTGACTGGAAGAAAACAGGAGTTTTTTTTTTTCCTCTCTTAAAAATCCTGGTGTTGCTTATGAAACAGATATTATTCATGTATGCTGTGAACGACACAGATGTGGTGCTGTTCAAGGATGAGGGTATTTGTGGTTAGCAGGGCACTGCGCTTCTTAGGCAGTGAGGGTCCTATCAATACTGGTGCATGCTGGAAAGGGCTGCGCCATCCCCGGGCGGTGGCCCTCCATGCTCCTACCACTTGGGGCTTTGTCTGCACATCAGTAAGCTCTGCTGGGAAGAACACTGTCCGAGACCCGGGGCTCACCCTTCTCTTGGAAGCTGCAGCTGATGAATGTGGCACAGTGTCCTGAAACCAGGGAGCGACACGTGGCAGCGGCCTGGGCATGCGTTCTCCCTGGGTGCAGCTGCCAGTCCAAATCAGGCAGTGACTGGCAACTCACAGAAATGCGAATGCTTGAGACCGAAGTTCCGGCAATTGCTGATCTATTTATCCTCACGCTTGTATGAGGAAAGGGGACAAAGACACGAAGCGTAACAAGACCTGACACCACCTATCGTCGAATGAAGCAAAGATGAATATGGTCTACTGCAGCTCATTCCTCTTGGTAGGACTTTTCAAGTCAAATTATTATTATTATTATTTTTTTGCTTTCTGGATCACACCCGGCGATGCACAGGGGTTACTCCTGGCTCTGCACTCAGGAATCACTCCTGGCAGTGCTCAGGGGATCATATGGGATGCTGGGAATCGAACCTGGGTCGGCTGCATGCAAGGCAAACACCCTACCCACTGAGCTATCTCTCCAGCCCCCTCAAAGTCAAATTAACTCCCCCCCCCGCCCCACGCTTCAGGGTACCTGTGTGGTAGCGAGGTGAGGGCCCTCAGGTAAGAGCGCCAGCATATATGTTTCATTAACAATTAATTATACCTAAATTTTACCAGTCCAGCAACGAGTAGCATGTCATGATTATGAGTCTTAATGTAATACAAGTACATTTTTCATGTTTGTAGACCGATTATCCATTAAAATAGCAAAGGCACTTTCAGGTTACACGAGAAACAGAAATCCACGAACAGAGCCAGGTCTGTGTCTTGGTTCCTTCAGTTTCGGTGTCCATAGTGATCACTGAGGGCCCAGCTTTGTACCTCGCCTTTGGCAAACAGTGCAAAGAAAATGGCACCAAATACATTAATAGCAGCAGCAATGCAGAAAACAGTTTCCCACTCTCTGATAGTGTTCTGTAGAGACAGAGAGAAATGAGAATGATTTTTCAGTTTGTAGCCCGGTTATTAAAAAAGTGGTGGGCAAGACTGTAACAATCAGAGCATTTCCCACATAAGTTTCATCAAAAGTGGAATTGAGAGATGGTCAGTTGTCAATGATGGGGACAGGATCTGAGAAATTTGCCACTGGGAAGTTTCGTCGTGTTTTTGTCACAGATGTATTTCCACAAACCTTGACGATACAGATGATACATGCAAGCTATATAACTGAACACCCTCTGTAGCCCACTGCAGTATATGTGCTCCAAAAGGTGACCAAACTGTTAAGTGACACACCTTTATTCTTTCAGTAGAATACTATGCAGCAATGAAAATGAATGAGCAAAAATAACAGACACAGTTCCCAAACAAAGGTTGATCAAAAGAGCAGAGTATTTCCTCTATGTAAAGCTCAAAACCAGACCAAACTAATCTAGGGTTTGTTTATTATTTATTTATTTTTGCTTTTTTTTTTTTTGGGTCACACCCGGCAATGCTCAGGGGTTACTCCTGGCTCCTGCACTCAGGAATTACTCCCAGCGGTGCTCGGGCGGACCATATGGGATGCTGGGAATTGAACCCAGGTAGCCAATGTTGGCTGCATGCAAGGCAAATGCTCTACCTGCTGTGCTATCGCTCCAGACTTGGGTTTGTTTATTTTTTTTGTGTGTGTCTTTTTGGGTCACACCTGGTGATGCTTAGGGGTTATTCCTGGTTCTACACTCAGGAATTACTCCTGGTGGTGCTGGGGGACCACCCGAGCATATGAGATGCTGGGAATCAAACCCTGGTTGGCCATTTGCAAGGCAGGAAGAAGAATCTGGGGCCACAAGGAGGTGATGATGTTTCCTGGTTAAATACAGGTGACAGGGATTTCTTTGGAAAATTCATCCTGCTGCATATGCTTAGGATTTGTGCATTTTACAAACACATGTCAGGGCGATGGAGACAGGTCAGTGACAGTCCAGCTCCTGAGCAACTTCATTCCCTGACCCTGCATGGTTCCTGTAACACCAGCAGCTATGACCCCTAGACACAAAAACTGAAAATCAAGCCATAAATCTGGGCTCTGGTGGGGGTGTAGTTTAATGATAGGACGACTGAGGCCAAGAGACTGATCCTGACCCCTCGCTCATGTGCCAAGAACCATGTGCCAAAACAAGTGTGTGTCATCTTGGTGTATCACAAGCAACGTGTGTGTGTGTGTGTGTGTGTGTGTGTGTGTGTGTGTGTGTGTGTGTGTGTGTGTGAGCACTCTGGAGAGCCCCGCAACTTAAGCACAGGCCACAGGCAAGTGCTTAAGTGTTTGTGACCTCCAGTTCACAGCAAAGAGAAGGGGGAAATTCATGTGAAAATGAATGCAAAAAAAAAAAATCTACTTACTTCAGGAGTCAGACTTTTAGCAATGATGGGTCCAACCATTCCTGGAATTGTGGCAAATGTGTTTGTGATGCCCAGGAGGATACCAGCATACCTGCAACAACATTTTCACAGAGGTTTATCATCAGGTTAGATATACAGGTAGCTTCACCTCCCCCCCAACAAATAGACAGCTATACCATTTCTAGGCTGTATTTTTGTAAAATTGTATGCCTTGTGTAATGAAATCCCTTACTGAAGTAGACTGAGTATTTAACCTCAGATGAGAAGCTTGCATCTCAGGAGTTAATTGGCATTCTAACATTACACTGAGGGCCACAGCCACTTAAAGTGGTGAGATACGATTTCCACACCTGGCCCTTTCTATCTAGGAGACTTCTCGTGTCTTGATTATTTTTTGAGTTGAAAGAGTTTTTACTGCAGAATTAATTTCACTGCTGAAAATTCAAGAAAAGAAATAGGAAACAGTGGGTGCTCAGTGGTGAGGCGCGTGCATTGCAGATTTGAGGCTGGGGCCTTTTCTTCTGGTTTTTCTTTTTCTTTTTTTTTTGGGGGGGGGGCCACAGCCAGTTGATTCTGGTTTGTTTTGGGGGCCACAGCTTGCTGTGCTCAGAGCTTTCTCTTTTGGCTCAGCGCGTAGGGATCACTTCTGGGAGTGCTCCAGGAATCACATGTGGTGCTGAGGATTTGAACCGCCCTACCCACTGGACCATCTCTCCAGCCCCCAGGCTGAGTGTTTGATGCCAACACTGCCTCTGATGCTCAAATGTGAGCCTGGTGGTGGCACTGGCTTCAGGGGCACCACAGTAAGTGTGTGATCTCCAACAGAGCCAAATTTGTATGATTATCACAACTGATGTCAGTGACCCTGGCAAGCAACGAAACTAAGCAGGCAAGCACTGGAACAAAGTGTGTGTGTGTGTGTGTGTGTGTGTGTGTGTGTGTGTGTGTGACCTCGGTCACTGCAACAACAGCTAGAAGGGAGGGGAAAAAGGAATAAATTGAAGAACAAAATGAAGAACAAATAAAATTACCTACCGTCCTTCTAAGTAACCAGCACTAACATCTTATAAATACCTTAATTACTCTCCCTTACATAATGCATTTTATTTTTTAAAAAGTAAATTACACTGAAGAGGCACTGTATTTTTTTTACCAATTTTATAAATTTATAAATTTCAGGTGTGAATGGTTATAATTACTACCTGAATATATGAAATCAGTTCACCACTAAAAAGTTGAATTCTGGAGACTGGAGTGATCACACAGGGGTCAGGGCACTTGCGTGGCCTGTGGCCAACCCAGATTCCACTCAGGATTCCATCCCCGGAATCCCTTATGGTCCCCTGAGCACAAAGTGAGGAGTGATTCCTGAGTGCTACTGGTGTGGCACCAAAACAAACAAACAAAAGGTTGAATTCTAGCATTTCTCATACAATTCACCTTCTCAAAATCCAATCTACCTCCACCTTCTCCCTTCTCTTCTGGTAACCACCTACATATTTAATATATTGTTATATAAGTGAGATCATAGCTAAATCTGTGCCCTGTCTCAGAAGCAGTCAAGTTAGCTCTACAGTATGTGTGTGTGTGTGCATGTGTGTGAATGTATAAGACCAAAAAGTACATTTTCAGTAGCTCAGAAAAAATCTGCTTTATCTTTAATGTTTCTATAAGAGAAAGGTCAAAAGTTGAAGAATAGGGGCCGGAGTGATAGCACAGCGGGTAAGGCGTTTGCCTTGAACGCAGCTGACCTGGGTTCGATCCCCGGCATTCCATATGGTCCCCCGAGCACCGCCAGGAATAATTCCTGAGTGCAGAGCCAGGAATAACCCCTGAGTATCGCTGGGTGTGACCCAAAAAGAAAAAAAAAAGTTGAAGAATAACATGGCTATTTCTTGTATACAAGAAAGAGACCCAGAAAAAACTGAGCACTTCTGTGATTTATTTTAGGGGCAATTCCTGTGGGCTGGGGATACAGCTCAGCAATAAAGCATTTGCCTTGCCTGTGCAAGGCCCTGGGTTCCAGCCTGCAAATTTGCACACATACACGAAAATCTAGTGGGACTTAAGGGTAACTCTTAGGAGAAGGATGCTGTACTACTTTTCTTTTTTACTTTTTAAATTTTACTTCTGTCACACCTGGTAGTGCTCAGGGCTTACACCTGGCTCTGTTCCGGGGTCATTCCTGGAAGGGCCCAGGGGATCATATGGAATGCTGGGGATTTAACCTGGGTTGGCCTCATGCAAAGCAAGAGCCCGACCTGCTACTACGGCTCTGGTCCCAGGAGAAGGATACTAGAGACTCCATCTCTGGGGTATCTATCATTTACCATAATCTTATGCGCTGCCCTGTGCCCTGTATTTCTTATACACTGGTAGTATGTCGATTCTACATTCTAAATGTATATTAAAGATTTATGTTTGGCATTTTGGTGAAAAATCTTAAAGATGCAAAAACTATGGTAAATGTATCTATGCTACAACAATAAATATTAAAAAGAAAACTTGAAGGGGCTGGAGTGATAGCACAGTGGGTACAGAATTTGCCTTGCACGCGGCAGACCCGGGTTCAGTTTCCAGCATCCCATACGGTCCCCTGAGCACCGTCAGGAGTAATTCCTGAGTGCATGAGCCAGGAGTAACCCTTGTGTATCGCCAGGTGTGACCCCCCCAAAAGAAAAAGAAAAAAAAAGAAAACTTGAAGACATTAAAGATAATCAACCAACAAAATAGACATTATTGTCACTGTCACTGTCCTCCTGTTGTTCATCGATTTGCTTGAGCAGTCCCAGTAACATTGTGAGACTTGTTACTGTGTTTGGCATATCGAATACCTCACGGGTAGTTTGCCAGGCTTTGCTGTGGGGGCAAGATACTCGGTAGCTTGCCGGGCTCCCCGAGAGGGGCGGAGGAATTCACCTGGGCATGTATGGAGTCATATTAGAGCTTTTAAATTTTCCAATTTTTAATGAGATGGTCATTGTTTTTATGTAACAAAAATTCGGGGCCAGGGAGACTGTTGAAAAGGGTGGAGCATGTACTTCTCATTTATGGGCCCCTAAGTTGGATCTCCAATACTGTATTACCCTCGCCTCTGTACCACTAAGTATAGCCCAGTGCTCCCTGAGCACTGCTAGGGAGCCCCCCACACCCCGCCCCCGCCAAGTCAATTCTGATAAAATTACAGAACTTTGACATCTTATTAGTCCATGTGAATTACTGGTTATTTTTTCTCCTTTTTTTTTTTTTTTGCTTTCTTTTGGGGGTCACGCCCGGCGATGCACAGGGGTTACTCCTGGCTCTGCACTCAGGAATTACTCCTGGCGGTGCTCAGGGGACCATGTGGGATGCTGGGGATTGAACCTGGGTTGGCCACGTGCAAGGCAAACACCCTACCCGCTGTGCTATTGCTCCACCCCCCCATGTGAATCACTGTGGGATAATGTTCTTTCCATTAGGGTTCAGGATCCCAGTACTTTGGTTCTGACCACTGTTGAGTGGCCTCCCCTTAGCTGAGTTTACTGAAAAGTGCCTGCGAAGGTCTGAATTGGATTCCTCCCACATTCGTTGACAGTATCTCAGAGGTATCATTTAACATATTTTTATGCCCTACCTGCCAATGTGACTGTATTTGGAGTCAGTTTTTTTTTTTTTTTTTTTTTTTTTGCTTTTTGGGTCACACCCGGCGATGCACAGGGGTTACTCCTGGCTCTGCACTCAGAAGTTACTCCAGGCGGTGCTCAGGGGACCATATGGGGTGCTGGGAATCGAACCCGGGTCGGCCGCATGCAAGGCAAACGCCCTACCCACCGTGCTATCTCTCCAGCCCCTGGAGTCAGTTTTTAGAAAATAATTAAGGTTAAATGTAATCATAAGGGTGGGGTTCTAGCCTATTGGAAATTGGTGGTCTTGTAAGAGGAAGAGAGGGGCCAGAGAGATGGTTCAAAGGGATGAGCTCGGGGCTGGAGTGATAGTACAGCGGGTAGGGCGTTTGCCTTGCACAGCGCCAACTCGGGTTCGATTTCCAGCATCCCATATGGTCCCCTGAGCACCGCCAGAAGTAACCCCTGTGCATTACAGGGTGTAACCCAACAAGAGAAAAAAAAAAAGGGGATGAGTTCATGCTTTGCATGAAGGTGGCCCAAGTTTGATCCCCAGTACCACATGGTCCTCCGAGTCGCTGAGCACTGCTCCAAGCAATTAACTGGGAGTGGTAAGCACTGCTGAGTGCAACCTAAAAATGGAGAAAAGAAAAGAAGAAAGTAAAGATGAGGAGAGAGATGCTCTTCTACAGTACATAGCTGGGCAGGCCCCTGCAAGGACACTTTTAGGTGGTGATTGGGCGCATTCCAGGGAGGCCTCAGAGGCCCCGCACCACGATGAGACCGTGGCCAGGCACCCACAGACTTCAGAACTACGAGAAAGTAAGTTTTCCTCTCAGAAAGATGCCCAGTGTGTAGTATTTTGTATGACTTCCTGAGCTGACTAACACAGAGTCTGAATAAAACGCCTGCTAGATCGAATCCAGTTATTTGTAACGTTACAAATTCCTACGTCCAAAACTCATGCATACAGGACATAACACTAATCACGTTGCGTGCACACACACACACACACACATATGCACACACATTGTTATTTTGCTTATGCCTTTTAGGGAATGTTAACTTAAATTAACCAAGCTTGGTAGAAGCTGTCCTTTTTTTTTTTTTTAAAGCCATTAACACCTTGGCAGTAGGAGGAATGATTGCAGTGTGCCAGGCCTTTTCAGTAACAGATATTAAGTGCAGATGATTGCTGTGAAATTCTAAATGTCAGCACTGAGAGGATCATTCAAGTATTTACATTACACTTGGCCAGAAAGGGCCTTGAGAAATCGATAACTCTTTGGAAAAAAAACATGTAGGGACTTAGTCTGGATTCTGTGCCTTTACAGAGTTCTTGAGTTCTTGGATTAACAATGAAAAATCTATTCACTTGAAAAAAATTCAATTCTCTTGAATTCAGGAAACAAAATTATATGCAGAAAATTTCTATTCCATTTTGTAGAAGTCTTAGAGAATATTGAATAGACTTTTATACAGTAAAAGG